AATTGACGCGCCGGAAGTTTCGTACTCATCGTAGCGTGCGTTGCCTTTCTTATTATAACCGAGTGATACGACTGGTTGCCGTTGCCTTATCCGGTGTACGGTTCCCCGTCGAGTTCGTTTACCTGCTTGAAACAACTCGTTTTGCCTAAAATTTCACACCAACACCCTACTTCTTCTCCTGCAACGTCGTACCTCGATTCGGTCCCAGGAAACAAACGCCATCCCTAACTTCCGGCTTCGCGCACCGTGAAATTTTATTCCCTCGCTGTTGATCCGTGAAAAGATTAAAAACCTCGTAGACAATAAATTTTTTCACTATTCAGGATAATAGTAAACGTGTTAACGATTAAATCGAGTAGCCTAGTAACCGACTTCGACTTCGAACCCGCTATTTTTCACCCTACCTACTATATTCGTAAGGAAGTTTCAATGAAAAATGCAACAGCATTAATATTCATCGAGTATGGTTTCCTGTTTGACGCTAGTGGTACGAATACGATGTCTGATGGCGCAGGATTCTCGAACAACGTGAACGAACCAGGCGAATGTCCTTATCGAAGAAAATCGTGAATGGGGGATGTTGACGAGAGATTGCAAGGAACGTTGCATTCTTAGTCAGACAGATAAATCTGTTCGTTTCACAGCTTGAGTCACACGTTCCTTGTTTAATTCAGAACTCAAGATGACGGTACCTTCCAAACAATGTGGCATTCAAACGGATTCAGGATACATATAACGAAACTTGCCTCGTTTGTACTGTTTGCAGGATGGCACGGAAATGGGTTGATTAACCTCGAAAAAAAAACTATCAGTAATTAACCCTGTTTTGGAGTGATGGAGTATAATATTTCCCTTAGCAGGTGCCCACTGAACGCGTTAAATATGGAAGAAAAGTTGCATTACACAGCAAAAATGTTTCAATTCTAAAGTTAAACTGAAGAGCATTCCGTTCACGCTGACATCGCCGTTTTTATTATGAATGTTTATCTCCCGAAGGAAGTAATTAAGGGATAATTAATATTCATTAAAACCTTTCTCATCGTTTAACGAACTCTTTATTCTCGAAGCTGAGCTCGTACATTTTTGAATCGTTCTGTAGGCTCCGGTGAAACGTGCGACATGAAATTTCCAAGTTCCCATGTGGCATCAGGGTTCATCAAGATGTCACATCGAGACGGTCGGTACCGTGAGATTTCGAGTGGCCGAAGAATGAGCCTGGTGGAGGCAAGGAGTTCCATTGAGAGGCAAGAAGCGTGGAAATGGTCGAAACGTCGTTTTGAATAACGAGACGATATCGCGGAAGCTGAACCCCCTTCCTCTGCTATCGCAAACGAAACGATGCACGCCCGATAAATCCTAGTAATGCCGGTGATTAATCTCGGACGCGACTGGCCAGTCCATCTTCCGGAATGGATACCGGTGTCACGAGGATCCGTTTCTTCTATAACGAAAGCTTACGTCTACTTTCCACGCTTTGCTATGCATAATCAACGCAAACAGCGTTGCCTTTCAAACTTAATTAGGCGCTTAATTTTCGGACATAGAACTTCGAAATTTTGCTAAGGTAGCAAAGTTGGAACTTTGAAAATTTTCTTCCACCGTGTTTCATCGTGCGAGTGCGGAAATATCTAATAGCGTTAATTTCTCCAGCCATTCGATATTCTCAGCCTCAACGTGGGAGTGTTTCATAGTTGCTCATACGCTCGTGGCTCGTTAATCCCCTTGGTAAACGAATTACCGTGAAATTCGTTGAAAGGAAACGCGAATCAGCCTCGCGAAAGTCGTCGACGAATTATGAACGTTTATCACGGTAGAACGCGTTCGATCTTGGAGCATCGTCGCTTTCTAAGCTCGGCTCCGAGTCAAAATCAGCTCCGTCGAGAGCGTGTACGCATCGAATGCGCTTTCCTATCCTTTACGTTTCTCTTCCTGTGATACGCAATTACCAGGATGCTCGCTTATCGCGCAAACGATGCGACCTTTTCAAGGCGGTGAAACCGCCGGAGACCCAGATAACGAACGGCGATGTAACAATTTCATGCGAACGAGAAAAACGAAACGTCTCGGTACCCGGTGAAAGGTCCCGACGTCGTTAACAGGAAACTGGCTAATGAAAAAGAAGGATTAGGTCGGTTGATTTTCCGTCGAAAGCTCGTGACCGCTTCGCCGTGGCTGTTTCGTTGAAAATCACGCGACAATAGGACATTCAGTGATCACGAGCGTAGCCCCGCCAAGGCTGACGTTGATTAACACGAATTTTTCAGCTTCCCTCGTTGTACGAGTCTCTACCGAGCATTTACGTAATTACTTTCACTGACTGCGTCGTTTCATCGAGTCTCTTCTAACGAACGCTGCTCACCCGTCGCTAGTTTCCTTTTGTTCGAGTGTCTTTTTTTTCTTCTCGCGATTTTATCTGGAACATAGCAGAGCGTGTAATCCAAATTTTCGTCTGTTTGAAAAATTAAACAGGTACGTAGGTACTTTTCGAACAATAAGAGGTCTACTTTAGATTCTTGAAAGGCGTAAACAATTGCTTTTTTTGCGTGAAAAGAATAGGAATAGACAATGGGATGAGAAGCGATCAAAAAAGGAGGAGATCCGCTCGAACGATCGTAGAAGGTCAGGATGGAACTAGAGGAAAGTAGCGAAGAATGCGATCGCGCAAATAAAGCATCGGTCGAACAGCTACGTCCGCTCGAGCGGTACCTAGCGTGTTATCGGTGTAATCGGCCGCGCCACTTTCGCTAATGCACCGTTTACAACGCGGACGAGTTACGCTCGCGACGCGTTTACCCTCCTTTTCCTTGATACGTTTCTGTGCACGCGGCTTAAAACGGAAGAAATCAACACTTTGTAAGTATTTCTGTATTAACTTGAAAGGCTGTCTGTCAATAATACAAGTTAGCTGCTTACATTTTGAGTGGACATGAAATACTTGCAAAATGAATGTCAGTCAATTATACAGGAATTTCGATTTGCAACGAGGACGAACAGATCAGCTATATTATATTTAATATTTCTTTGATAGTAATCATTCAGCTAACGCCCCGTGTCTAAATTCATGTTTTTTGTTTCCAAGCACTTCTAGTTTCCGCAAACTTATTCATTCACGTCTGAAATAATTGCCTGCATCATTAGCACCGACATTATTAGGCTCTGTAAATGCGTGAGAATCCTCGAAACTCTGTTTTTGCGTGTAGCTAATGTCTGCACCTTGTACTTTGGACTTTAAAGGAATGTTTACTACTCTGAGTTAACCATAAAAGCCATTGGCGACGTTGCTATGCTAATTAAACTTGAAATTAGTTTCGATAAAAAAGAACGGCGTCACTAATTGACAGTGTTACATCAGGAAGTATCCTTGATATCGAATTGGAATTTGCCGAATGAGTAGTCGTTTTCATTGTAAATTGTAGTTTTTTAGTTGTTTACGTGTTTTGAAAAATCGAGGGAAATCATTTAGTCTGGATCTTTCATTGCGTTTCCCTATAGGTACCAAGAATCCGTCCGGAAGGTCGGCGACGCACTGCACTTGGAAATTGTTTCTATGTCTCAAGATGCCAAGAACTTACGAATTGTTCTCTTTTTCAATCTGCTTCTTTATTAATAAGGGAGGGTAGTGTGAGGAAATATCCTATTTCAAAAGTATCTTAAGAGTCAGTTGCGAATGTTTCGAATAACTGGTACGATGGGGAACTGTGGCGTTAACCGCTAACGAGGCAAGTATTGCATAAATATCTCGAACTTACTCTCGGGACGTCTTCCATTATTCCTGTAGAACGCTTTAATGAGACGTCGAGGAATGTTTGGAATATGCTTAGTGATCGTACGCGAAACCTGTGTAGACACACCTTTCAAGCGGCACGCAAGGCTAGTCAAGGATAACGCCTACCGTGCTAAAATTAAATATCATTGCACCTGTGGTGAGATACGCGTAACACGTTTCAAATATAATTTCATCGTTGAATCATAAACGGCCTTGAATTCGTCCCGTGAAACGATTAGGAGAGAAGATTTATGCTTGCAGCATCTTGTCGCTTAGATATGACCGCGGATTGTTGATTACCCATCAGTTCTGAGGGCAATTTTGAGCGTAGCCTCGTTACTCTGCTGATATTATAAATTGGAGTGTTTAATTGAGGAAGAGAATGGGATGATTTTAAAATATATGGCCTTGAATGCAAAAAAGAAGAAGAATTGACTTTCATGTATATTCAGTTTTTTATTACACGCGTTAAAGGAGGACAAGTTATTTCTAGTTGAAAAATAACTCACTTTGTATGAAGGATCAAGGATAAGGATTTTATATGAAAATTTAATACCGATTCCACCAATCTGTGCTGTATTTAAATACTTGTAAAAAAATCTTTAGGTATTTCCTTACGATAAATGTCAGTCGATTTCGTGGTTCCATTTCTACTCGAATAATATGTCACGCTCTCCGGTTCGACGACATTTCACATTAAAATCCGCTGAACAACTTTTCGCAAACAAGTCGTCGATGAATTAAGAAGCGATTACTGGCTGTTTTGGCCTCTTCGAGTCATTCGACGTGACTGTTTTTGGTTTCCATGTCTTCTTTTATCTGGCCACTTGGAGATGTCGCTGATTTTACGTAACTGCATGACGTTTTTATCAGAGGCCGTGCGAAAAAATGTCATCGATTTTTCTTCCATTTCACGTTTCCCCGCCACGGGATATTTCATCGAAGCGACTGTATGCAAATAAGGGTCGTTTGCAATTCTCCTTCGTGCAATCGTTTCGTCTCGCGTCGTAATTTTTCGACACGGTTAGGCGTCCCACTTTGTTCGCCGTTTCGACATCGTTAAGTGACGCGAGCGTCGGTACTTTAACACGTTGACTGTCACCGAGGGTCAGTGATGACCTACTCGAATAATCTCGTTCAATTTATCTATTTACTCGGGGCAATGTTTAGAAAAAAAGGGTAAGAAAGAATAAATTTGCAACTTATTCCTTTGGATACAATTTATTCTCTCACAGCATACACGTCCCAGTTTCAGAAATCGATCGTCGATGTTTCTTCTTCCAATTACATAACCATACAAAAAGCATCTGTGCGAAATTCAAGACAATACCAGCATCCATTTATTTTTATTTTCACTCCACTTTTGTGCACGAAATCACGAAACATCTCTTTTGGCGAGCATCGTCGCCTTCGACGATTCACGTAGCACGTTAATAAACAATTTAATGCAAACCGTGCAATTACGTGGTTGCTCTTTCTTAAAAAGACAAAAAAAAATGGCGACGAACGAAGAGAGAAACGAACAGCAGGAAAGGCAATATCGGCAGCGTGTAATTACATTTTTTCGCGAGAAGCGAGGAAAGGGAACATCGAACGGGGAAATCGGGCATTTGCAATAATCTTCAGCGCTCGATTGCGCAAAAACGGTAGAGAAGAGTAGAATGAAAGAAGGCGGAGCGACGATCGCGTAACATTTTAATAACTCTATCGCGATTATTTTCCTTTCCTCGACAAGAATCTACAGACAGATGCTGAAGAGTTTCCTCGGCAAATAGGCGCGCGAGAAAACACGCGTATCTCGAAGAGAGAGCGTTATGTCATCGCAAAAACAGCGGTCGAGAAGGAAGTACGATCGTACCGGTATGCAAATATTGCGTGACGAGACGCGCCTCGATTGTGTAACGTTACTTAATGTCCCTTGATTTTATATACGGTTATCGTAACACACCAGAGATCCTATGAAATTTACAACCTGGCCCAAAGTTGGAACGATCCGGCGCGGCTATCTCCAGTACTTTACACCATTACATCGATGTTATTCTGCGCTTTAACGTCCCCATACTCGACGACATCGATCGTCTTTGTATACCCGATATTAAGTTTCACCGTAGTGATTTCTCTTGTAACGTTGTCAATCTGTCATTTCTCCTAACAAAAACGCTCGATATAATTATGCGAAATTATTACTTCGATATCTGTTACAATTTCTTCAAAGTCTGAATGAAATCAGCGTTACGAAGATAATGCACTCTCTCTCTTGCCCGTTGAAAAATGATTTCATCCAGGTTCGTTTCGCGCCTTTCTCACGTCAGTTTCGTGGGAATCGTTCGGATGCCTCGAAGATATATACGATCGGCCAGAGAAGAACCGGAGTGTTCTTCTCCTTGAACTTGACTGGACGATAGTCTCTGCTGTTCGTGGCCACGATTCGTTCGCGACAGCGTCTACGAGGTACGCGGGCTTGAAGCTCGCATACGAGGTCAGGATCGAGAAAAGGAGGACCCTGTGGGCGGACGTCGGTCGCGAGTCGTTGCGAAAGCAGAAGAGGCCGAAGATCCTCGCTGACCTCGTGCAGAAATACCTCTCGCATAGGATTGCGGCGTCGTTTTTAATGAAACAATGCCGGTCTTTCAAGCGACGAGCGGGATACTCGATGACATACAACGTCAAATCGCGTTTCATGGATTGTATACTCACCTTTTGCCGCGCCCCGTGAAACGGAAATGCAATTCTCCAATACGGTTCGTTCTTTTGCGATTCCATTGTCGGATCGAACGTCCTACTTTATCGAGCTCCAACAGACGTCTTCGCGATTGCCGTGTAAAATGTGACACGATCTTGCGTTGATTCTGAAGGAAGATAATTGATGGTGATGTTGCTCCAAGTCGAACTTCATAGTTACAGGATTTTACACTCAGAATAATAGTAAATACTGTGCCAATTAACGAGAGAATATAGTATACTTACACAGTTTGGTGCACCGATGAAACGAAACATATATTCCCCGTTATTCTACATCCACTTTGTAGCATCGTTTTATCGGCAATCTCCTCCAGCAGGCAAAGATCAATGATTGGTCTATAAATAAGATATTAAAATGTTAATCGTGCAGAAGCTTGAACGGTCACAACGTTGTATGTACATACGTGTTGGGAGTAGTTTCGCGGGCACGTAAATGTACATACTGACAGTGCCGTGTAATTATACGCATTCACGTGATACCGAGTGCACACATCGAAACGGTAATTTACTAGTATAAATTACACCTGTTGCGGTTAATTTTACCGGCTTAGACGGTTGCTAAAACGTTGTTTCCTTTACGGAGGACAACCGCAACGTTACTTCTCCTTTTAATCCTACGAAATGTCGCTTTTGTATATCGTTTACTTCGCTCCAATGGATACGTGCTGTATTCCCAGCTGATCTTTAATTAAGAAACACGTGGATGTTTAATTGGACTTCGTGGTCTCTGGAATCTCGCCTTTCCTGTGATAGGAAAATTGCACGTTGAACAGAGTTTCTATAGAGTGTTGTACAAAAATATGATGTGATCTATTTTCTGAAAAGAAAAGGACAGATATTGATATTTATATATTATTAGTCTATTGTTTCTACTAGCTTTTGTAGTCTAGAACCAATCTTCCATTTGCCAATAGGCAAAGATATTTCTCCTTCCAAGTATTTATCATTTAAAACCGGAATAGACTGTACCTCATACTTAGCGCTTCATATTGTTCTAAAGTGACGTTGATTAAACGCTCATTTAAACGTTAATTATCTCCCTCGTTTAGCGCCTGGTGAAAATCTTTCGTTGGCTCTAGTAAATCATCGCGAAACGACTCTTCGCACTTTCACCACTTCAATCAACCATTTAACAGATCAATCGAATTAGACCTCTGTCGTTCATTCAGTCCGTCAGAAACGTTTCTTCCGAACGAAACTGTCAGATCATCATTTAGACAAAATTATACTGTTACGTATTTCCTATTCTGGAGGTTCTCTTCAGCTTCAACGGTCTACGAGATATTCCTGCATTTGCAGTTAAAGAAACACAATGCAGCTTGCTTTTCTGATTGTCTAGGCACGCGACAAAAGCGTAGAAACAATTTAATTACAATACCTAGCGAATCTTCGTTCCTGTCAAATGCCTGGTTTCATGGAAAACACATGGGAACGATAAAGTGCGACAAGAGGCACGCGATCCCATAACAAAAGAAATCTCGCGGTATCTTGAGTGAAAGTCTGAGCGTTGTGAATTTAATACGGGACGAGAAAGAAGGCGAGGCGAGCCATTGAAAATCGAAAATTTTAATTAACTACGCTTTGAAGCGAATCAACGAAATTCGACTGTTATTTATTCGAGAGGCTGGGTAAATATCAAAGTCGGGAACGTTCGTGTTTCTCACGGTAGGCTGTTCGATCGCAATCCATCCGGAAGGTAAAGGAGAGAACAGGAGCCGTGGTCAGAGTCACCTTGGCGGCTTAGAAATCCGAGAAACAGTTTCAAGGTGAAATACTGACGCTCTCTATGCAAATTGACCAACAGTTTCGTCGTCACGACGCAAGAGACGTTGATTTCTTTTTTCGAGGATGCATTAGCGCAAAGTAGACCATAGAAGGTCCGATGCAGAAGAGCAGATAATGTCTGGAGGAATTTAACATTGAATCGCGTATCGACGGAAGAAGGAAATTCCTTGAAATATAGGTATATCCGTAATATCAGATCCCTGCGTCCTCGTCGAAACAACGCAAGGATCTTCGATTCGCCATTGTCGCTTTTATTCAACCGCGGCCATGTAGCCGTGGCAGCGTGTTCGGCGCGATGGAACGCGTGGGCTAACACTTGTTGCGTCGGTGCAAGCATTGTGCCCGGGGCTACCTTCACCCATTTTAGTGCCACCTACATGATATTACGCACCGCGGTTCGATGCGTTCGCTCATCCATAAGCTCGGCGACACGTTCGCCGCTGAATTACACCGGTGAAACTGGCTCATCCTGTGCTAACTCGCGCGGTGACTCAACCCAGCCGGAGGAGGATCCTTTTCGAGCAGAGTCCAGCCCGACAAGGACCATTTCTGATCGCTCAGTTCAGTGAACTCGAATCACCGCTGGTAATTTACAGGACGCTGCCTGTAATAGATTTGAAAAAAATTTATTTTCAGCGTAGAATGTGGAATCGCTTTGATAAACAGTTACGTGTGGACTAGGCTTAAGGCGTAACTAAAACACGTGCTCTTGAAGGCTCCGACAGCGAAAATAGACGTCGAAATTCGTTTCCTCCCTGTCTACAGTCTCTCAGGAACGTCTGACACGGTAGCCGAAGCAAGTTAAGACGTTTCAATTATTCCCGCTCATTTTGATCCGGTGCTAACCACCAGCGAGACTGTAATAAGCGGTCGTTCATTTAACTCGCGCGCATGCTTTCCACGGGGAAAGAACAGAGGAAAAACCGAGTAAATTGCAATGGTGCTCGAGCAGAACAGATTAACGCGGGAGCGTAGCTCGTGGCGCGATCGTTCTTTCCAAACAGCGTTTAGATTGCAATAAATCTTCGCAACGTCTGGACTTCACGGGGCGCCGTGTGTAACGTTGGTAGTGAAATGAATTGCGTTTAACAATCGCGCCATTATCTGCGCGCATTCGGCCTGGTCAAAGGGTCAGGGTGGTGGAGGACGAGAGAAGAGGAAAAAATCGTGAACCGCGATCCCCGTGGGTCGTGGAGATAAAGTGCTGGACGAAAATAGAGTCGCCGGGGAAACACCTGGATTACCATTAACGGCGAGACGCTCTATAAATATGGCGGTGCCTTGACGCTCCGTTACATACTGTACGGCAAGCTAATTTGTCACTTGCCGCGAAATTCCACGGGCCCCCTTTATCAGTCTCCGTTCCCGTGTTTTCGTATCGCGACAGCGAAAATAAAGAGTCTTGGAGCGGAGCACGAAACGGCTCGCCATGTCGGCGAACAACTTTTGCCAACCCAAACCTTTCTGTGTTGGTTCGTCGACAGGTTTTGTTATGGCTGATCTCTAGTGAGCTGAATATCAAGCTTTTAAGAGGGTATTCGCATCTTAGGCAATTTTTAGAGATAAAAGTTGACTCAATTTTTATCATGATTTCCCTTTTACCCTTCATTTTGGGTTCTAACGACAAGAACTAAGGAGAGGTTGCTGTACTTACCATTTAGGAGATATTAAAAAATGTAATTACCATAATCCTCGTGTCACGAAATGTCGGAGCTAGAAGTGTAGTCACGTTCGTGCGACGAGAAGTTCATTGAACCTTGTCGCGCGGCGTATCGCAGAGAGCAAGACCAGATTCGCCAGTGCGAATCGGTAACCGGCGCCAAATCATGCAAAAAGTCTCCGACACGACGGCACAGGTTTGGTAAAGTATTTTTAAAACTTGTCTGACTACCCGGGACGCAACCCGTCCCATCCTGGAACACTGATTCGACGAATACTACGTTCTCGTAGATTCCCCTTCATTCGAAAACCTTCTTTTTTCCGTTGGTAAATTCCACTGAAATGAAAAGTTACAATTTCACAATTCTATAATTTTACGACTGGTAGCATAAAGGTTAAAGCATTTTGACTCTTACCGAAACGTAGCGTTCGTCTGTGCCCAAAATTGGCCATGGCACCCGCTCTGCAACGTACATAAGGTTTACAAGAATCTTTCTCACCTTTCCAACTCGGTCATCGCAAAATTTTTTTATGATTCTCCATAAAAATAATGGCCGGACTAAAGTGTTACATGGCCGGACTTCAAAGTTCAACACGCAAAACGACACCTCTTTGAGCGTGTTTTGCGTTCTAAGAAAATCGAATAATTCCGGCTTGTTCGCAAGACGAAAATCTTAAGAGTATAGATAATAAAGCACGTAGAATTTATGGGCGTCATTTTGATAGCTGTGAAACTTTCAATAAAATCGTCGGGAAACAATTTGGAAGAACATGTCTGTCGTCACGGTATTGGGCGAGCATCCTTAAAGTCTGCTGCCTCGTAAACGTACTTTTATGGGGACCATCGTAAATATGGCCACGCACTTGTCTGTAACTCTCGAAGATTACCTAATGAACGACTGCCCATTTAGTGGTTTTTATCGTGCTTGCAAATTTTATATTTCATGATTGGTAATCAACATGCAAGATTACCTCTTACAAATTTCGGGATAATTCAATTACTACATTGTAAAGTTCTCAATCAATGTTATTTAAAACTTTACAACTTTGAAGATTTTCAAGACCTTGAAAGATGTCGGAAATTAGTCCGAAATTGAATCGATGTTGAAAGTGATTTATAATGATTACCTGGGCATCGCAACATTCAGCAACATGTACAAAGAAACGAATTTATGGTGCTCTCTGGCACTCGAATGAAAAAGCATCCCGAATAGCCCGAACTGTCCGGAAAAGGCAAAGGGGTTTGGCTAGGCCGGTAGAGCGAGGAAAAAGGAAGAGCAAGCCGGCAGTTTCGCGGAACTGCCGAGGATTTCGGCATCCTGGAACTTTCTCATATTGATCCTGGCGAGTCTGTGAATGCCTCGACGTCTGCGTCTAAGATATCTCTGCGTAGGAGGAAGTTGTCCCCGCCCTCTGTAACCACCGTAGAATGATGCATTGCGGCAGCCTGGACGCCTCTTTCAAACGAACTAGATCCTCCCAGTTATCGGTTCTGTGTATCAAAGAAAAATTTTCCTCCTCAGAATCTATGAAACTCAAGCCAGACAAAGGCAAACGCGAACCCAACAAAACTAACGTAAAACGTTCACCTTTTTACCAGTGACCGTGTCACTGCTCCACTACGGCACGATCCTAAGTTGCAATGGCGTTTCGCGAAGTCGATGGCCCACTTGGAAGAATACCTCGATGCACACAAAGCCGCAGTAGCTCTGAAACACGGAGATAAATACGTACGGTCAGTCTGTCGGGAGATCGACGAGAAATTCCACGAGATGGTTGGCAGAAATTAGGCTAACCCATATATGGCTCGAGACGAGCAACTGTGGCCAAGCTTTTTCTCTTCGACAGAGATCGTCCTTGTTTCTCTAGGCTGCTCTTCGCGTACATACTACATACGTGGTGCCCGTGAAATCGAACGAGCCGTGGCAACTGCAGCTTCGAAGATTTCTATCAGCGGATCTGTACGCTGGCTGGTCGAACACGGAAGCCGTTGAACAAGACGAAATTCTCGGCTCACCTGGTGTCGCCAGCGATTTTTCGCGGCTCGAGAAAGCGCAGTGAAAACGTATATTTTCATATAGCCAGACACGAGCACGGCTAGGCCTGTTTGATCGGGATCGCTGCCGATATTCAGGACAAAGACACCTGTGTTTTGTACCGTGTGTAAATTATGGACGCGTGAAGCGTACGCTCGTAATCTCCACGCAACGACCGCGAACAGGATGCACCTCGATGCGATTTCTGCGTCGAGGAACGAACAGTCCCGTGAAAGGACCTGGATGCTAATGGTAGTCATCTTCCAACCTTATGTTTATGATGAATATTTTTTAAAAAACGCTGTTTCTTATCTTCGTTTACTGACACAGATTTTTTTTTTCTAACGCGTTGACACTCTATCGGGTGATGACAATTTGCGGAGGATATATGTAGGTGTTCCAGAAATTTTACTTGTTTCTGAAAGGTGACTGTAGTCGCACAACGTCCTTTGATTGTTACTCCCCACACCTGGTTCATTGCAATGTTACTTGTTCTATTTTTTTATGCGTCTTGGTTTCAATGTTCTTTGTAAAACGTGTAATTCTGTGCAAGAAAGCTCAAAGCGTCCGAGAAACCGCGCTGTACATTCATGTTACAGAGGAGCAGCACGTTTCTAAATCAAGGTGAATAACGATTTCAATTACCGACATCGCCTTACCCCATGTATTTGCGTGTAGCCAGTTCACGGAAGCAAGTTTCGTATGTAGCCTGAGCCTTATTACTCTCGTTACAAGCGGCAGCATCGATTGAAGACCGTGGGATTCGGCCAGTTCGTGCCAGATCCGACCTTGCATACTTTCTAGACTAATTACAACGCTATCCTAGATTTCGCGATAGGATATTTCTATTGAATTTTCTGCTTTTCAGCTTTCAGTTTCTGGAATACTTATTTCCTCCTCTGTCACTGTCTGAAATGGTGTTTAAGGTGGATTAGGTTCAATTAACATTCTCTGACATTTCAATTCTCTCGTTTTCACAGTTTTCTCTTAGTATTTATTTGTTATTTTCTATTTACTACTTAGTTATTCGTATCAGTAAGTGTATAACCATTTTAATATCAGCATGATTTATACATTTATCGTATATCATTGCTCCGATGCACTATTCCTATCAGTTCATTGCACACTCTCCAACACCGTAAAATACGAAACGGAAGTTTTGATTACCTGAAAACAGAAGGTGATTTAGCAGATCATTTTCAGTTTTAGTAAAGAATATAATTACATCTGCAAAACTCTGCAAATTCATCGTAACAAAACCACCGGCAGTTAGTTGAAGAGGAGTCAGAGCTCTCCTTAACGCCAACACGTATAACGCTTGCGTTTTGACCGGAGCGTTATACCACATAGCTTCGTATCTGACAATGAGAATGCAAATTTTTCGAATGTTATTTATTCCAATTTTATTTTTCCTCATACTCATCCCTTACTCACATATTGTTATAGATCTCGTCGTTTACATTCGCGAGGAACTGTCCTTGAATCGATAGGAAAAATATGTGCATTAGCTGAATGATTAGGAAGCTGCAATACTTGTAGAATTCCGAGGTAATTTTCATTACCGATATCTGCTTTCAAATAATTATTTATACAACGATCGTGACATTTCATCCAGCAACATTCAATCCATATAAAAACTAATATTACCTTAAATAACGTAACGGTGACACCTAGCATTACCAGCATCATAGAAATGAGGAGATAATGAAAGTGGATGTTCTCAATTTCTTTCAGATATCTATTTGAAATCATTAGATTAAAAAAATGCAAATATTTGATGCGAAAATTGTGAAAATCAAGCATGATGCGATATTTCAACTTCTTTATTTATTTACGGATGGAAATGTGTTAAGGGTAAAAAACACGAGTTATGTTGATTAAGTACCTAATTATAAATGAAAGTTTCCAAAATTGTGAAATGTTTCAATGTCACAAATTTACAAATATAACAAGCTGTTAATAACAAAAGAGATAAATTTAATGTACAGTGATACCCACAGGTTGGCTCGTTCGTGTCCCTGAACCGCGTAACACACCTTCCGATGTATCTCATTAGGAGTATCAACATTTTTCCCCTTTTCATCAATAGAAAAATCGATCGCGTGTTTGAAACGATACCTGTGAACATTTTTACTTATTTCATTACGTTTTTTAACGTTTAACATCACCTGAAAATGTTTTTTTTTTACCCTGCCACCGCCAATAAACTGCAAGCATGTTGCACCAGGAACATATACATCGTATCGCAAGCAGAGTACACAAGCAGCGCTGATATTACTGCAGAAGACATATGTGCCGTTATCGCATAATAGTATTTCTCTTCGTCGATCGCGTAATAAGCCGGATAAATGAACAATCGATTTCGCGATTCATTGTGTGATGTTATTTTATCAAAAATTCGTGATATATGCGGCTGGCTAATAAATACAATCACACAGAAGTAGGCATTCCCTATAAACAAATTAAACTCACAGATTTTTTTCAATATAATTGATAAATATGGAATCCTCTTACCTACGTAGAAAGATGTAAGAAAAGCTCCTCTTATGGCGTACGTCGTCATAATATTAAGTTCTTCTTTTGATCTGTCTATCGCCCAATCTTCATATATTCCATCCAGAAGCAATTTGAACTACGTTTAAACAACTCGTCTTGTGTAAATGAAAAAATAATTCAGTGCATGTTAATCTTCTCACCTTCTTCTCCTTGACAATATAAGTCCACTGTTTAGTTAGTATGCCGATTAATGCCGTCATGAAAGGAATATCCTCCACCGCAACGTTCATACTAAAGAAGCATACCACCTTTGCCGCCTAAAAGCACAAACGTTTGGCACGAAGTTCAGATTGAAAACACTGTCCAACAAATTTAAACTTTTTTTCTGTTTTTCACTGGGTGATTGTTGCAGAGTTTCTCGTCCTTAACACGAATCTGAGAACCGAATTGCTCTATCACCCTCAGTTTTCGAAAACCACGAGTTTCTGTAAAATCATGTGTTTTGGATGGAAAATGACCTATTACATGACCTATTAAAAATCGATTGACGAGTATTACGAGTTTATCAATCGACACTCGATTGAAGACAGTTTTGAAATTTGTTTATTAGAGGAAACTCTCCTTTATCTTTTAAGAACAATGCGAATGTTCTAGCGTTTTTAGTTTCCGCGTAATAGGTCATTTTCCCTCTAAAACACATGTTTTTACAAAAACTCATGTTTTTCGAAAACTGAGAGTGATAGAGCAATTCGGTTTTCGGATTCGTGTTCAGGACGAGAAGTTCTACAACGACCACCCAGTGACTATTGGAAATCAAAATTCGCGTTGGACAGTGTAATCAAACGTGTAATCTACCTGCGTAACCAAAGCTGGGACTACGATAAGATTTATAATAAATCGCGCAAGGTATTTAGAAAACTTGGTCTCGGAGGGCCAAATTCCGGATAACTTAACGAATCTTTTGGTGACTTTCAAGTAACGTTTTTCCAGTGTTGCTGCGTCCATGGTTAAGTTTCGACTGACTACTTTGACCCTTCGTGGATATGTAATACGACTCTCAGGGCGAAGGGCAGTTAAGCTCTTAAAAATTTACCGCGGTATACCTTGCACCCTCGTTTGAATAATTTTCATGTCTCATGCAAACGAGTATATCACTGAATGCACTGCATTAGTCGAAGATAAATGTTACTTTAATTATTCATTCACCCTTTTAAGGATATAATACATTCGCATTAAGCGGATGTAAAAACTGACAATCAGCGACAATAAATGAAAGAGTAAATTGGATATGAAATATTCACACACCTCTGCTATCCAATATTAGTTTCTACCTTTATGAAAAGCATCGTTATTGATTACTTTACTCGCATGTTGCATCAAGTGTTTGTAGTTCTTTGTTTTCTATTGTTCTGGTGAAGAGGAGTGCTTGTGAAAATTATAACGAAGATCGTGAATTTAATTAGAAATCTAATAATTATCTCAGTTATCATGTTATCAGCGTGAAATAATAAGAAAGGTAATTTCAGCAATCCTAACATCGCATATATCACCGTTATTGCCACTGTCCGCTGGCAATAGGTACATATCCATTGAAAGAAAAAACTTGCTCTCCTTGCCCCGATGTGGCCAATTACTCTAGATTCCTGACTTTCGCGAAAAGTACCGTGCCGTTCGCGACTCACGTTGAATGGTGGTGTAATTTTCAATTTACGATGAAGAATTTCAGTACGTATCTGCGACACCTGTGCACACGACAGAATCCTCGATCCTTTCATATCCCACTGCTATAAAAATACTATAAATTTTATTCCCGAGTAATTAAGAATGAAAATTATATGTTAGGAGTTACCACTTTTTCTTCAAATTCATAAAGGTATTAAATTATAGTCAAGTTCAATTTATAATGTTGAACTTTCCTTTTCATTGTACATATTATTAAGGTTCGTATAACAAATTATAATCAGGTTCGATTTTAAATTTTGTCTCGTGTCTAACAGTTGTTTTAGTAACGTGTTTGTCGTGCACCTTATTTTATAAATATTCTGTTGGTTCAATTAACCATTCAGGTGTTCTTCAGTACCATAAAATATGAAACGGAAGTCTTTATGATCTGAAAGCAATATTTTATGTTTAATCCGTTGACAGCCGTAGTAGAAAATACCTGCTAAGAACATTCATTTTCTAATCTAATGCTGCAGGTTTTTATTTTGAATTATATTAGCCTACTATTAGCGGTATCTTGATAAGATATCTAATAGCTAATAAATAATGTATAATTACAGCTGAAAAGCTCTGCAAGTTGAATGTAACTACTCCGGCGGCTGATATTTCAGGTGGAGTTAGGGTTCTTCTTAACGCTAATAGATACAATGCTTGCGTTTTGGGCGGTACATTGTACCACAGTGCTTCGTATCTGCATTCAAAAATAAATTAAATGTTTAAATTTTGCAAATGAAACAAATTAGCCTTAATACCCACATATGGTCATAGACATCGTCGATGGCATTAATCACGAACTGCCCTTGTAGCACCGTAAAAAACATATGCATCAACTGAACGAATAAGAAAACGCAGTGGAAGCAACACTCGGTGTCTCCATTGATTTCCATTATTGACAGCTGTTTTTAAGCAATCGTTTGTACAATAATTAGAAACCATCTTACCCGAAATATTTTGAACAAAAATTACCTTGTATAATGAAACGCTGAAAGCCATGGTTGCCAACGTCATGAAAATTAAAAAATAAATCATGTTGATGTCCCGGATTTCGTTTAGATATCTGTTTGGAAAGAATATCGAATAACGCGACAAAAAGAAATAACAGAAACAAAAGTAAGAAAGTAAAAGAAGTTAAATGATTATACCTATTGTTCATCGGAAACCATTTTCAGTAACTTTTCATACATGAAAATAAGTTGAAAATGAAATTGAAAAATTAAAAATGCATTTATTATACGCACGTAATTGCTCGTTCGTGCGCTTTTATTGAATGGCACACTCTTTTGTATACTTCTTGGGGTGGATCCATAATTTTCTTTTCACAGCTGGAAAAGTCTTCGATCGCGTGTTTGAAACGATGTCTGCGAAAATTCATAACTATTAAAACTGTTCGTAATTGTTAATTCCAAATTGATTCTTTTTACCCGGATACTTCCAGAAGTCCGCAAGCGTGTTGCACAAAGTATATGAAAATCGTATCAACGGCAGTGAAGACGAACAGTATTAATATCACGAAAATAGACATATGGGTCACCGTAACGTAGAAGTATTTCTCTTCGTCCCACCCATAGTAAGGCTCATACATGTACAATGGATCTCGTGATTCATTTAGCGGTATCAGTTTGTCCAAAATACGAGATTTGAGAGGCATGTTAATGAAAAATACCGTGGTAAATATAGCAGTTACTGTAAAAATAATAATGTCATTTTAAAATTTCCGTGGAAATCATAAGAATAATGAATGAACGTGTATGATTCAAAATTGCCTTACTTGCATAGAAGGACGTAAAATAGGTTGCTCTTTCAGCGTATGTCTTCATAATGACGATTTCTTCCTTTGATTTGTTTACTGTCCAGTCCTCGTACATTCCATCCAAAAGCAATTTAAGCTATGGTAATTAAACACACACTTTCAGAAAAGGACATAATGAAGATTAGTGTTAATGAACATCCTCACCCTCGAACCGTAGATGAAAGAATTGGTTTGTTTTACGAGTATTCCCATTCCTACGGCGATGAAAGGAAATTCTTCCATCAAGACATCCAGTTCACGAACTAGTGCGATATAGGCTATCTAAAAATCAATATGTGCTTTCGTTGCAAATGAATCTAACACGGATAAAATTTAATTTAAACGACGGGAATTCTTTGTCCACCAAAATTAAAAATATAAAAGTTTTTTCGTAGATTAATCACTGCTTAAAAAAGAAAAGTATTCGTGCTTCAATCAGTACCTGAGTATAGATAGCTGGTATCGTTATAAGAGAAGAAATGATTATTATAATTAATTTTGACAAAGGTCTCTGATATGGCCACGTTCCAGCTAGATTCGCGAATATTTTTGTGACTTTCAAGTACTGCTGTTCTATCTTGTCTCTGTCCATAATGAAACACAACTTGACCGTGTTGCTACTTTCCTGGATATGTAGAACTGTCAGAAGTGGTAGGAGATTTTTTGAAAACGCAATACTTGATAGACTCTACAGTCTCATTATTCGTCTACATTTGTTTGAATAATTTCCGTGTGGCGTACATGCTATACGTGTCTACATCGATACTTCGCAAATGGTGTATTAATTATTCATATTCGCTTTTAAGAATACACTGTGCAAAAAGCTATCTCGATATAATAACAAGGTATGTTTGCATTAGTTTCTTTAAAAAATTGACAACCACTAAAAAGCAATATCTCAAACTGAAGTAGACATAAAAGTGTTCGCTAGAATGTGTACTACGTTCAGTGAATTCAATGTTAGCTTTCGTTGATTCGTCCATGTTAGCTTTTTAAATCAATCGTCTATGTTTCTTTTTTGCAATTGTTCGAACATGAATCGCAGCAATTAAACTGGATGTTTAATTTGGTGGAAGTTGTTTAAAAATGTTGAAACACACGAAAATGTTCGTTATCAGTTCTGAAATAGTTTAGAGATGTTGGCGCCTTCGCCATGAAGCTCTGTGAGAAAATCACCGCGAGGTTCATGCCCGTTTAAACTGACCTAATCCCACGGTCCAGATTCCAGATTAATATTTGCAACGAGATTAATGAGAAAGGTTGCAAGGTTTTCTGGATTCCCAATAATTAAACACGATATATCTGTGCTTTAACCTTCGTTCTTCATGCTGACAGATTTATATTACAAAATACAATTATAATTAATGTATAAAATTATATTTGTTTTATAAAATTGAATTAATCCCGTATGCAACACGTATACCAATTATGTGTTCATGGTGCACCTTATCTTAAGACACCATACGTGTCATCTATCGTTTTGCCTTTCTTATAGTAATCAATTCCTTTATCTCGATCATTCGGTTACGTAGCTTTCAACACTGTAAAGTACGAAACTGATGTTTTTATCACCTAAAAACAGATATTCAAGTTTTTTTTTAATTGGACCAAATCGATGTAACAGTAATTAATATATTACGTCTGCGAAGGTTTGCAGGTTCATTGGAATAAGACCTCCGGCTGTTATTTGAGGAGGAGTCATGCTCGATCTTAATGCTAAGATGTATAATATTTGCGTTTTAGGTACGGTATTGTACCATAATCCGTCGTATCTGTAAACGGCAAAGTTTTTTTTTCTTTTTCCAGATGATTTACGAGAGGTCTGTGTTAATTCATTACTCACATTTTATTATAAGTCTCGTTGTTTGAATTAATTACAAACTGTCCTTGAAGTGTCAGGAAAAACATATGCATCAATTGAACAACTAAGAAGGTGCAACACTGATAGAACTGCATACAAATCTCCATACTTGATACCTGGTTTCGAAAAGTGATATTTTATGAAGGTTCTTATCGTAGGATGGTATTGAATTTAAAGAACTTACCATAACTAACGTACCACTAAAGGCTGCAACCATAATACCCATACAAAAGAAAAGATAACCACGATGAATGTCTTCAATTTCTCTTACATATCTAGATAATTTGAAAACGAACGATAGAATAATAAGTAATAAAGTGTAAAGAATTTAAACGTATCGTAGTATACCAACCTTAATGCGCGATCATGTCCCTCAACCGAGTAACGCACTCTTCTGTATGTTTCCTTCGACATTTTTACAATTTTGCTTTCGTCAGAAATGTCCTCGACTGCTTGCTCGAAACGATATCTAAATTACAAAAAGACTCATGCTTCAGAAAGTTAAAATTTTTGTTGCTGACTTGAATGCAACCTGTTCTTACCCAGCCACAGCCAATAACCCGCAAGCATGTTGCACAGCATATATGTAACAAGTGTCACAGGCGATATAGATGATCGTAGTTAATACAGTTGCAATACTCATGTGTGTTATTATCCAGTAATAATAATTCGTATCGTCAATGAAGTAATAAGCTGGAAAAATATACGTTCGAGGCCGAGATTCATTCAATGGCATCACGAGGTCGGCAATCCGTGGCCACCATGGCATTTGCATGAATAGACCGGTGCAGCTGTATGCATTTGCTAAAAACAACAATTTAAATAGTTGATTCTACGCAAATGATTAATTGAAAATCTTCTTACCCAAATAAATTGACGCGAAAAGGGCTCCTCTTTCCATGTACGATGTCATAATAGCAAGCTCCTCTTTCGATCTATCCACTGCCCAGTCATTGAACATACCATTCAAAAGCCCTTTAAACTGCAATCAAATTATCAATTTCCTGTAATTAAAGACAGAAGAGAGAGTAACGCATGTGTTTGCTCACTTTTTCCTCGTTTACGATATAAGCTCCTTGCTTAAACAACCCCAGTACCATCGCCAGTAAAAATGATAGCTGCTCTACCACAGCAGTCAAGCTGAAAAAGCATGCTACATATGCTATCTGTAATGAATATTAATCAATCGTTGGCTGGCACGGTTAATTCTTTAACCAAATTAAATGCAGAAAAAGAGCGATATGCGTGCATCCAAGAAAATCGATACTATACCATGTGTGTACCTGTGACATGATACAAGGAACGGTGGTAATGTAGACGATAAATCGAAGTATGTTTTTCGTAGACTTGGTCTGTTTAGGCCAAATTCCACTGATGATCAGGCATCTTTTTGTAAGCTTCAAATAACGTTGTTGTATCCCAATATCATCCATGACGAGACAAGCAAACCAGCTAGAGAAACCTATCTATACAAGCGTGCTTGTCGCGAAGAAGGCAATTGTAAAACTGATTTTCTTCCATCTATTCTATAGTTATTTTGCACATATCATTTTTTGTATGAAACTTTAATCACACAGTTCTCGCAGAAACGAAAATAGCTTCATAACGGAGCTGGAAACGGTGGCGCATAATTGGACATTAATATGAAAAAGGTTTCCCTCGTTCCTTCTACGGTACATGCAACTAAAGTATACCAGCTTATTAGTTGCAATTCCGAATTCAAGTGCTTTCGGTAGTTTAAATGTAAGTGGCTCGATTGAATGATATAGCAGAGTGTAAAAACAGTAAATTGTAATTCTGTCTTAGCTGGGCGAAGGTATCAGTAGTGTTGATGGAAAAAGAAGGTAGTATAGTAATTTGAACCATGTGTAAATTGGAAATTATATAATAAGTGATGTGAAAACACAAATTATTTGGAACCTGAAGTACTCTAAGGTACAGTTTAATTAATTTTCTGATATTTTATTTAAATTATTACTTACATACTTGTGACTATCTATTTCATTAAATACGCGACAAAATGCAAAACTATTCATGAAATAGTTTATATTATTATTATCATGGTAATCACATCTTAATGAGTGACATTAATCACATATTATTTGTGCGTATTTGTTACGAAAGATTTTCAAAGCATTCTTTTATTTAGATTTCATTACCGTATAGTATGAAACTGATGCCCTTAAAATCTGAAAATAAAATTTCCATTTATATTTGTAACTTTTTGCAATCTAAAAATGACCCAATTACCTCGGTGAAGGTTTTCAAATCCAACTTTACAAAACCCCCAGCTGTTAGCAGTGGAGGAGTCAAACTTCTCCTCAGAGCTAAAACGTATAGCGTTCTTGTTTCGTTTGTGGCATTGTACCACGTTGCCTCCCCTCTGAAAATAATATTTTTTATCCAATTATCTGTACAGATGAACGATGAAACAAAAATGATCAGCTGAATTGAAATATATGTGAAGCATTTAAAGTGATAAGTTGTCGCCCTTTGTTTTACCCATGGGCCGAGGAGAGCACCATTGCCCGCTACACTACTTGTTGTGCAGGCCTACTCTATCTAAATAATGGACAAATGAAATGAAAAATTCGTGAATGAGTTACGAAGATTTTGGTTCTTTTCGTCGAAATTAATCGGTGAGTGAGAATGCATTTTGGTGAAAATTTGGAATCAGTGTTCACGGATTGATCACTCACATGGTTTTATAGAGATTGTCTTCAGAATTGATCACAAATTGGCCCTGAACGACTAAGAAAAATACATGTAACAATTGAGTCAATAGAAACACATTGTAGATGAACCACATCATGCCAAATTCACTGCTAGTCACCTAAACTTATGCCAATATATTTAACGATTCTTTTGGAGAACATAAGAGGAAGGTTAATAGAAACATTTTACCATTAATAGAGAAAGGGTGATACTACCCAGCAGCAGTCCCATTGAGACGAAGAGACTAATGTCGTAAGCACTTCCAACTTGGTTCACGTAACTACATCAAATTAACTTATTGTTGGTGTATATATTAATACTAAGATTCTAGCATTTTTGACAATATGTACTAACGTTAGAGCACGTTGATGAGTTCGAATGGAATCACATACATTCCTGTATATCCTGCGCATCTTCATCTTATTACAAGTGTCCTGATCGTAACACGCGCACTTAAAACGTTGTCTGCAAATAATTTGAAAATTAAAAAGACACTTTACAATTTTATATACCATAATCTTACCCTGTAATGGCTAATAAACTGCAGGCATGTTGCACAATGTAAACGTAGTTCATGTCACAAGCACAATATAGAACATTGGTAAAGAACAGTATGGCTGTCATGTGCGCGACTATGACGAAATGATACTTCTCGTTATCGACTCCGTAATAAGCTGGATAAGAGTACATTGGTTCCCGAGATTTGTTTAGAGGTAAGATGATATCCAGCAAAGGTGGTACGAAAGGCATTGTAGAAAACAAAGTCGTGGAAACAGTCATATGCACTACAAGAAAATTTATTTGATTCGTAGAATTTAGTATTATGTTATTAATGTTCTGATCTCTTACTCATATAGAGCATAGCTATAAGGTATCCCTTCTTTCCATATTTTAACATAATCTCAAACTCAGCTTTCGATTTTAACGTCAACCAATCTTCACTGATATTACTCAAAAGCACCTTCAGCTGCAATTTCATCGATGTTAGAAAAGAAAAAAATATGAACATTGCAGACGCGAATCTCTTACCTTAGATTCGTTTATTATACAGTTACTCGTTTTGATAATCGTTCCTAAGGCTACCACCAAAAATGGTATATCAGTTAGAAAAGTGTTCACACTACAGAAAACTACAAGTCTCGCAACCTACAATCAGAAATGATAGAATCCTCATGAGATTCAAATTATTTTAATCGAATACCTGTGTAGAGTAGCCCGCTACCATTATCGCCATTAGAATAATTCGTTTGAGTGTTCTCCGGTAACTACTTTGACCAGGCCACAGTCCTGCGAATAATCCGATTTGTTTATTATACTTCAAGAATCGTTCCTCCACAATATTCACGTTCATGGTTCGTGCAAAACAGTTTGAGAAATTAGACGGACGCAGTTGTTTTGTTGCAAGAAATGTAGAAAAAGGAATGAGGGTTGCAAACGATCTTTTGTATTCGACGATTTTAGATTCCACTTTTCCTGGCGTGCTGTATTTCCTTGAATTATTTCTTAGCCACTCGAAGAAACTGGCTCTTATTGGCCACCGTTTTTCGAAGAATCTTATAGAAGCAATTGTTCAATCATTTCTTTGCTTTTTGTCTTTCACGATATCTTTGAAAAAAAAAAAAACTTCTTGCGTATGCTCCGGTCGTTTGACTCGTTATAAGATCTAATAACTTGTACTGTTCAGTGAGAACCTACAGCTAGTAGATCCATAAAGTAGTCATCAAATATTGATGTTAAAAGGTTTCTCTTTCAATGTCAATATCTTTATCAACATTGTCTTTTCATGGTACACGAAAGGTGGTGTTATACTATTAAACATAAATGGTGTATAGTTGAATGCAATGCATCAAACGCAGATAACGAATTGCACTTTATCGTGTGGATTGTGTACAATAGAAATGTTGAAACTTCAACTGTTTGAACGTCGAAAATTTGAACTTTATTTTAAATTGTAAGAAGCTAAAGTGTGGCGGAAAAATTGCATCATTAGAAATCTGAAAAATTTGTAAAACTCTACACCAGAATCTAGTAAAAATACTTGGGTTCATCAAGAAGAATCTTGCAAAACGACGTATAGTGTAAATCTACCAATAAGATTAGATCATCTTCACATATCGGGGGTAGATTGAACACTCGTAATAAAATTGCTTCAAAGTGAAAATGTGGAAACTACAGACAAAAGGTAAACATATGATTAGAAACGAGTTCCTGAACAGTACTTACTCGAAGCTTTCGAATGTAAGCTGGATCATCATATCTACGGGGGTGGGAGAGAACTCACCGCTCGCTCTATCTAATAATGAACAGTGAGACTAATACAACATGTAGTTACCATCTTTTCTAAAATAACTAACTTTTGTATCCATCTGATGGTATCTTACCGTCAGGACAGGATATAGAATTTTCTACATAACCGACTGTAGGACAGAACAATTGACAAGGTTCTTCCATTATTAACTAGGTGACACCAAAAGTACTTTTTAAAAGCGCGCAATGATATACAATTTTTAAATGTATAAAATTTGTAATAGAGGAAAATTTATCAAATCTTCTATCGAGCAAATAAGTTAATGACACATTTCTCTATGCACCCATAGCTAAAGTTTTAGATCTTTATAATAAATTTTTCTTTCAGCGATCGAATTTCCTGTAATCTAGCCTCTGAAAGCTTTTGCGACATCGCTATATCGTGACGGTGGCTATAACAGAATGATCATCCAACAAAATGTGCAAAGCAATAATAGAGCGAAAGGTATGTACTAATTGGATGCAGCCTACTGATAGGAGTAAGGGGTTTAGATTGGAAGAATAACGGCGGATGCTGCTGGATACAACAGATCGGGTTATACAAAGGCGGCTCTTTTTAATTGGATAACGTCATATCGACGTTTTCGCACGCGTGTCCTAACTTTTTTCCCATCGATTTGTTCGGTTCGCCAGCGGCTACCTGTGCGACGCAACAGTCCCATAAAAAATCGAACGCCTGTGTGACGTGTCCTTTGTCGCGTTTCTTCTTCCTCGTGTCGATACGCAACCCATCGAATGTGCAAACTCGTTAGCGTTCATAGAGTTTTCTCATGGTGTTGTTGCGAATAAAAAAATACAACATCCCTTTATCGGTTGGGTTTCGCGGTCCAACGGGAGCACATATCAAAGAATGGGATTGTATTTTCAATTTTCAATCAGTCAGGGTTGCCATCACACCTTGAATATTTATGATATGAAAAAATGTCTTCCACCTTTGTCGTTTCAGGCGTCAACTCTTCGAATTATTCATAAGCAATTACGTATTTGAAGAAGCAGTTCCATGTTCCTCTTGGAGCTTTTGAGGTACAGTCACCAAGTAATTTACTAATGTAGAATCATCCCCTTCACCTTTTATCTCCACTCGTTCTTACCTTCAACCCCCGTTTCTTTCTCCTTTGCGATCTTCGTCCGAATGTTACTTTCATCCCTCGTCTCGGACTCTACGTTATCTATCCACTTGAAGCGAGCTATTACGCGATTGTATCTTAAATAAAATATCACCAGCATCCCGTCGCCAACCACTCAAAATAATAATTGTCTTCCCTCCGGTGTCGACTATCTTCAAACCCCTCGCGTCTCAACCCTCTTCAAATTCGTCTACCATCTTCACGCGTAGAATTCATCTGCTTTTAAAGCAGAGGATTTTATATAAATTTTCTCTTTAAACAAATGGTAAACAGAACGAAACCACCAACAAAAAAATTCTCTCATCATGGTTTCCATTATTTTTCCTTTATTTTTCCACAACGTCCAACGATAAACGAAGCAATATTAAAGCGCGAGTAATACGCACGATATTAGTAATTAATAACTGGCCGAGCTTTTCATTTTTCCGCAAAGTATTCAACCCAGTGGGATGATTCAATTAAAATATATAAAGAGACCTCTGCGAACATCCAGGAAAGAGGAAACTCGTTTCTGCCCTACCTACTTTTTTTCTTCTTTTGTTCCCATCGAACCACCACGACACAATATTGTACTTTTAATTATTTCGAACGCTGTGATCCTGTGAGCGTTATTAAGGCAATTGCAACAGGTACCGTGAGCAATTCTGAAACGAAGCCCGGGGAACCGCGCGAATATTGAGTGTAAAAGTTTCAGAAACTACGGATATTCGCTTTCCATTCAACCGTTCTCGGTAAAAGACTGAAACAAGATTTTCCCGTGCAACGATTATTGAATATGTATGGGTGATTTCGTTGAATCGCGTTCGTAACACCATACTAGTTTTATCAAACTATCCGTCCAACGTCTTTTCCATCTTTCTACACGATCGTATTTCCCGAAAAGAATCACGGAAAAGAGTAGAGAAACAAAGAGGAACGTGTTGCGCTTGATCGGCTGTCTATGGCAGGGGTGTATCGTTTCGAAGATAGTATAATTATTGCGCTAAAAGGCAGCGAGCATGCAACGCGTATGATAAAATCCTCCATAGATGGTGAACAGTACAAACACACGTCTACGTACACAGCCACGAAGCTTATTTACCTAGCCTCCCCGGTTCCACACCCCTGACACGAGGGAAACAGTTGTACGCTGCATAGCTACCTACGCTAATTAGAGCCACTCCGGCGGAATAATTAGAAATTAGACCGAACGGACTCCCGGCGAAGTAGGGAACGCCGACGGAGACACTCTTAATATATTCCTTTTATTTTTCCAGCGTACTCTATACCTTGTTTCACGGGATTGCACGCAACCAGTGACTACAGATCCAACAACACTAGACGTGCCTTTGTTTTCAAGGAGTTTTGAATTTGTGCCTTGAAAACGAACACCATCTGCACTATCCTAGCATGAAAATATGAAATACTTCGTACTGCAACGGTCTAATGCACGTTGATGGTAATAGCAGAGTGCTTCGAAATCAAAAACTACATATACCCCATTACTCATTGTTAGTGAGTGTCGCGAGCTCAGCCTTGCTATATTCCAGCAACAAGAGGAGCAGCAAGGAGAGGTTGATCCAACCCTTCTCTCAACACTAGATATTTCGCCACTAAAATCGGCGGAGTAGTCAGGGCCGCTGGCGTCAGGACTGGAGGCTCCGGGCGCTTTTGTACACGGCCCGAGAAGCCTATACCGGGTTGCGACCCCCGGTGTCAGCCACAGGGTAGGCCTCAATTTGGACCTCCTCCGAAGTTTTAGTCAGTAGGAATTTGACATTTCCCCGCCGCCCACTCCTAGGGGACGGCGGGGGTTTTATACAAGATTTCCCCACGTTAAAAAGGAAAAAAATATTTACAGCCACTGATTCGAGTAAAAGTAGTAAGCCGCGGCGGCGGAGGGGAAAGCCATGGCTGTGATCGGGCACCGTTGTTTATCGTAAAACAAAGTGAAACCTCCTCAGTCTTAGACCGATCACCGAGGGGTGCGGATCTACTGGTTAAATATACATATACGTTCATTTTATTTTCCGCGTTTATTTAATTTGCTGTATTTAACTTCTTAACTTATTGAATAAACACATTAGAGATGAAAATGATGATTTTATCTCTGCTCTGTACCTCGCCTCACTATCCTGTTATTTATTATTTTACGCCCTTTTTGGAAGCCTCAACGGGACCAGACTTTCCAAATGCTTCCTACTTTATCCACCATCCCTTTTACTTCTCGCATTCGTCACTTCCCTCCATTCCTTATACCCCTGCATCCCTGATATCTACGCATACCTAACATCCCTGCATCGCTTACATCTCTGTATTCTTTACATCACAGAACTCTTTGTATCCCAGCATCATTTACATCATTGCATCCCTTATATCTCTGCATCCTTTACACCTCTGCATTCCTTACATCTCTGCCTTCTCTTATATCGCCACAATTCCCAAATCTCTGCTTTCTTTATATTCCTCCATTCCTTTCATTTTTGCAGCCCTTACATCCCTGCATCCCTTACATTCTTGGATCACTTATATTCCTGCATTCCATACATCCCAGTACCTGCCTGAGTTGGAACGTTTGCGGCTATAGGGCCTGCGATTTTCTACAAATTTAGTTCCTTTTTTTACCGCTAGAGGGCGCTGCTTCGACGTCGAATCAGCGCCCTCTGGAGGTGAAAAAAGGAAGTAAAGTTTGCAACCTTTTTGGCCCCCTGGCGGCAAAAATGTGAACTAAATATTCGACGTCGGATCAGCGCCCCCTGGTGGCGGAAAAAGGAACTAAACCTTGCAAAATTTTTGGCCCTCTGGCGGCAAAAATGCGAACTAAATATTCGACGTCGGATCAGCGCCCTCTGGCGGCGGAAAAAGGAAATAAACCTTGCAAAATTTTTGGCCCTCTGGTGGCAAAAATGCGAACTAAATTTTCGACGTCGAATCAGCGCCCTCTGGCGGTAAAAAAAGGATTTACATACTTACCTTTACTTACCTTTACTTACCTTTATTTGAACCAATTTTTATAATATGTTATTATGTTTATAATATATTTATTATAAGGGTTGGAGAGATGTAATGGGTGTAGGAATACAAAGAATTCAGGGACATAAGGGGTATAGATATAAGGGTGAAGAAATAAATAACTGCGTATGGAGGCCTTGGTTCATAAAGAGAAATAGAAATATAAATGATTAGGAAGCGTGGGTCTTTGCCCATAAAAGAGGATAAAATAATTAATAACTGAAAAGGATGGGCTTTGCCCTTAAAAGAGGGATGAAATAGTAAATCACTGGAAAAAGTGTGGCGGGACCATCAGGAAGAATAAAGTAATAAATGAAAAGAGTGGTCGGCCAAGGCCCAGAAGGAGGATAAAATTATAAATTTCATTCCTCTTTGATGAGCTTATTTAATAAGCGAAATAAATAAATAAAGTAAATTATTTAGTTGATCTGGTAAGTTGATCTGCACCCTTCGGCGATCGCTACAAGACTGAGAAGGTCGCAGCTCGTTCTAGGTCAAACTTCTCATATTGAGAAGTAATTACTGTGTTTTGTTTTAAGTTTGATTTTCATGTATATTATATTTTTAATTTATTAAAGATCAAACAGTTAGTGTATGATGTATATATTAATAACTGAGAAAAGAAGTTAAGTACATTGATCAACTAAAATGATAGAAGAATTTAAGTGAACTAAATAAATAACTGTGGAAAGAAATTGCGGGCATTAAATAAATAACCCAGAAATGAAATTGGGTAAATTAAATAATAAGTCAACTGCATTTTTAAAATGATTTATTTACCAAGGTGTTTGAAGTGAATACAAGTTTGTCAAACAATTATAATAATAATTGTTCAGTCTTGTGCTGCTTTTGATTGATTTCTAAAAGCAGAAAAAAATAGTAAAGGTAGTGAAATTTGAGTTTTTCAGATGTCAGTTTGAGGTGGGGTAAAAGAGGGACTAGTAAAACAGGCACGACTATCATACCTGATGTACTTTCTGCATGCAGAACTCATCTCATCTGGGGATGTCTGGGACCCTCTAAATCATGACCCCTCGAAAACAAAGGAATGTCAAGTCTTTTGCATCTGTAGTCATTGACGCAACGAACAGCTGCCCGTTAAACTATAGCATGGAACGAGGAGAAGGCTTGGCGCGTCGAAAACGTCTGTAAGATTGGACAACGAGTCGGTTGTAATCTTGTTGGTTTCTCCTTTTAATGGATCGTTAATTAACGCTCCAGGGTAGCCAAGTCTTCCACTTAACTCGAACGGTACGTACGAGAATTGATTAAATATAAAACGAGACTTTGAATAAAAATAAAAATGCGAGAAAGAAGGTGAAAAAAGATATCCTTGTTCTATAATAATTTGATCTTATTAAAATAGAAAAAGCACGTCCGATCGGCGGATGCAGAATTGCTGGACGAGCAAGCACTTGGGCCTGTCAGTATCAGGGCGATGAGGAAGAAGCAGAAACCATCAATAACTAGCTGGGAGCCGGTGCTCGCTTAACTCCTAACGAAGGACGATTTCTAACGATCCCTCGGCAACGTCCAACTTCTGGACGTAATTAATTCCCCGGCTAACCCGGAATGCTATAATTAATTGCCGGTGGCTGATGAGGGGCAGAGAGAAGGGTGGCTGCAACAATATGTACCCGGTTCGATTAGAAGCACGGACCTCCGTGCAGTTATGCAATTAATTAAATTCAGTTTGTTATACGCGGACGATTGTTAATTACCGCCTAAAGTTCGAGAAACTGATGGTGGCTCCATCGAATTGAAGCCACAGTCTCGAAATGGCGACTCTTGCGTGTCTACCTGAATTGTCACCGTTCCGTCGAAAAACAAACCGATAATTATGGCTGAAAAGTATAAACTTGAACGAAGTTACTGTTTGTCGTTAGAAAAATCAAAGGCTCGGCTGTTGTGTCGAGCGACGAGAATTATAATTAAGGCGAAACGAATTCCCGATCCGTTTAACCCGCTTTATCTCTCGCTACCCGTTTGTTTCAAAATGTTCGACCGAGTTGCGGCTTAATTTATAAACCTGTTTCAATCACGAATCACAATACACTGAATCACAAAAGTATTTGTACTCTCCTCAATTATCGATTTTTCTTTAAAAGGAATATCAGCAAATTTGTATTAATATATGCATAGAATTTATTAATTAACCAAACGCGAACAAAGGCTTAGTTCTGTTATTATTGGAAATTGCCGATTGTTAGGAAACGAAGGTTCAGCAAGGGTGACGTTCCTAACAAGCGTAACAGCGATGTGTCGCGAGGGATTTCGCGAGGCACCAAAGTGGTCCTCTAACGATACGACCGTCTATTTATAAAATTTTATTTAGAGTGGCATAAACTTATGGATATACATAATACGAGAAACGGCGCGGTGTTCAGGGTAGGGGAGACGGTAGTGACCGGGGTATCTGGCGTTCACCACTCTCGAGGAGGCATTTAACGGACGCGCACGTGTTCGACCATATTGCATTTGTGTCGTTCGATAAATAGGTGGGTAAGCAACTCCAACAGAAACCCGTGTTAATTAACGTTGAGTTTCAGGACTGATTTACGTGGCGTCTAATTAGCGGGCCTGCCGACGACGTAGTAGGCATTTTGATTGGCCACTCCGCGAATAGAGCACGGACCGATTGGCCTTGCTTTCCTGTTCCGACAGTATCGATTGTTTTCGTTTCTTCTCCTGCCTCTACACAGGCCCCCATCTCTCTCTTCCTACCACCCAACCCTATATCCCTTCACGATGTTCTGCTCTTTTTGCGCTCCTACCGAACAACAAAGCGCGGCCTAGCTGCTGTAGCAGTTGTGCGTCCTCAAAGGGATTCCGTCGCAAGAAGAGTGTCGGCTCGAAAATAATGTATTACGGTCGTCTGCTCGCCCATTAAACCGTGCACTTTTTACGCTATTATTAAACTTTTATTTTCGGGCCCACCGCGCCGCACCACCCCATTGCCAATTGTTCTTCTTCTTTTACATACCACCGATCCATCCTCGTGTCGCGTACATTGCTGTGATTCATGTAACATCGTATAGGGGTTATTAAACGAGACCCTTAATTAATCCCTGACTTTCGACATATTCTTTTTTACCATAATAATTGCAGTGACTACAGATACAAAAAGACTGGAGATGTTTTTGTTCTCGAGAGGTCATGATTTCTGAGGGTACCAGCCACCCCCTCGGTGAGGCTAGATTTGCGCCTAGAGAGCACAGTCCGTATGACTGTGGTGCCTATAAATACAATAACTTGTATTTACTTCACGCGCTTTGATAAATAAATCAATTTAAAAAGGCAAATGAGTTATTATTTAATTTACCCGATTTCCTTTCAGAGCTATTTAGATAATTTACTTCACTTCTTTCGTAGATTCTTTATTTATGTAACATTCATAGGTTTTGCAGTTGACAAACAGAAATGATTTACAATTACAACAGCTTTTGTATAGAATAATACGATTAAATGGCAAGCGTTTATATACGTGTTGGATACATTTAAATTGTGTTAACAGTTGCGTTTATTGTAGGCACGAGGGATGCAATTGGAACTATGTTGGATTTCATTGTGTTTTATTAGAAGTATTTCAATCAAATCCGATTGCATGGATACAAATTGATTGTATACGTACGCTTGCCAATTTTTCGTTCAGAATTTTTGAAAAATTCTGAACAATTTCGAGTCACGAAATTTTCCCTTAATAGGAATTGTACAAAATTGTTTATGAAATATATGTACCGTTTATTAATATACAGGATATATTGCATTCGTCTGTTTAACGAATCGCAATTGTTTTACTTAATTATGTACCCGATACAAACACTAATTGAAAATTTATTACTTACTGATGATACTGCTGTCGGCAAGGCTGGAAACGTTTATTATCATTTTCAACATTGGAACAATTCGTAACAATAAAAATAACATGTTTATTCAGTTTATGAAAAACCTTCATTGTTTGTTTAATGAAAATATAATAGCTCGTTTATGTAACAGATATTAGTAGCAACTCAGTCGATAACTCACCCCCATAACTTCATCCCCAATCAATATTTTATTACGAACAGAATTTAGAAAGACTTTTAAGTTTGATAAAATTTATATTTTACGAAATAAATCAATTACATCAAATTATATCAAGATAGTCAATCCAACATACCATATCACCAATCACTACGATGCTATTTTGAAAGAGTAATCCTGACCCTGAAACATTTTCGGATGTTCGCGTGGGAGTATAAAAAGTCGCCAGCCAGTCGTCTGGATTGGCAAAACAACTTTTGCTGGAAAGTTTGCTGGCTGTTTCCGAAAACGCGGCCAATAAGTTTCCAAAAGAAGGAGCACGGAGAAGTTTGAAAAAGCTTGCTCATTAATCTCGCCGCGCTGGGCCGCGATCTCGCGAGATTCAATTTCTTAAATTGGACAGTAACGTTTCGCTTACCTCGAATCGATCCGTGTCTCTCTTGTTGTAGACCGCCGGAAGGAAGGAAGAAAGGAAGGAAGGAAGGAAGGAAGGAAGGAAGGAAGGAAGGAAGGAAGGAAGTAACTTCGTGAGTGAGAAAGGAATATCCTTGTAGAATGTGGGACATATACAGGTTGCATCACAATATGTGGCCGTAATTTATTTTTCTATCACGTATTATGGCACACCCTGTATATACTACCATCGAGTCACTACATTATGCAGAAGAAATATGTTTCAAAAACGAAAATGCATAACATTCTAAAAACTTGTGATTTTTATTTAATTAATAAACGTGTTTTGTATGTGTGTCCGTGTATTTTGTATTTTACAAGAGGCCGCGAAACCATTCAGAGATGTCCGGCTTCCGGTTTAAGAAGTCGAGATAAATCAAATAACAAAATTAACTAAACGCGCGAAGAAGATCGTGCTGATCCAACCGCGTGTACGTTCAACTGAGGACGATCCTCTGGAAACTGTCCACCACCACTGGATGCGAATGAACATTCCTTTTCTCGAATCATTTATCGAAAATGAGACGGCACCTTTGTTTGTTCGATACTCGGAGTCCTCTGTTTAACTACAATCTTCTTAACCCTTTCGTTACGGTTGAGCTAATCAAAAACTACTATCGCTATACAGAAAATGAGTTACGTGTTTGTACTTTGCCACGAATAAATTTTACGAATAGAAGAAAAAATTGCAAGCATTGAAAATTTAACACGGTCACTATAATGGCTTTTGGTACGTAAGGACGGGTTCGTAAATGGCCACTATATTTAAGTCCTTCATATCGAAAGGCTTGAAGAGAATTTGGAGGAAAAAAGGAACAGGATCGAATTTAATAATGCTACCTAATAACCTTTTCGCTGTGTGGTTGAAAAATGAAAATTAACACTTTGAAGACTAACTTAATTATTTACGATTAATTACAGAACAGACGTCACAGCGAAAGGGTTAAATTCATAGATTTTTAAATAATCCTTTTCAAGCATTATCGAACAGAATATTGAAGCGCATCCAGTGGTTGTGGTTCACAAAACCATCGCACCCATGATCGCCTAGGGACGTGCGAAGTCCCCAATTAATATCGCCGCTTTAATAGTAAATACATAACCATTTATATCACACAAACTTTTAACAATATACAAAATGTACCCTATGTACAAGATTAAATTACACGATCCAACACGCAGCGCGGCGCGGCGACCCTCTTCGTCCGATCTAGCTTGATCTCGGTCCGCTTGCGTCACGATTGCTCGCGCGAACACGCGTCAGGATCGAAGGGTCTTTCGATGAGCGGCGAACGAGCCAGATTAAAGAGAAATCGACGTGGGAATTTGAAATCATTTGGACGATCTCCCTTTTCGTCAGGCATCGTGTCTCCGATTCGCGATCAACTTTGCGTCGAAAATCGCCAGCATTCTCTCTTTCTCTCTATCTCACATTCTCTCTCTTGTTTCCGCTTGGAATACCTCGTAAGCGCGCGGCGGCGTTCTGACAGATAAAACTTTCGTTAAAGAACGAGACGGATAAACGAGTAACAATCAGTTGCACGGCACGGAGACGATGGTTCGCTTTATGGGATCGATAATTATTAGTAGATCGTTGATGAAGTAATTTAGATAAAGCAGTGAGATTGATAATTATTTCTTGCCTTTTTCTCGTTTGATTGTCAGGTGTACATCGATTGGTGTAAGATGATCATAAGACAAAAGATGAAATTATATTTTCAAAAGAAATTCAACGGAATACTCGATGCCATGAAACGAACCAAAAGAACCACCCCCGCATGATTTACACCCAAAACATGTGTCTTTAGTTTCGCATTGAGCTTCGAACGTGCCTGAGCCCGTGTCGTTTTCCCTGTTCGTTATCGTCGTCTTGTTCTCTGGCCAAACAACCAGTGTGTTCAACGGAAACGGAAATGGAAGCGTTTTTGTACAAGCTGGAAACGAGAAAGACGAGGGGGATGTTTGAATTTCGAACGACACCGGACTCGAGGCCAATTGTCGACAGTAGATACACATCGTAAACGTGTTCACAATTATTACATTCACGTAAATGTTTATTGCGGATGTCGAAACCCTGCCACTTAGAAAAAATCTATTGTTACACGCTTCATCCACGGCTGCGTAAAGTTTTCACCAGCGTATCCCTGGACGTACATCGGGCGTGCTCGCGTTCTCGTCGCACGACAGTTTCCCTTGGTTTCATCGAGAACGGGCCTTCGCGATTATGCATCGGGTCTTTATCCCGTTGGAAAAATAACGATCGTTCTCCGTTGTACAGCTCTCGTATCGCGAAGCACTTTAAACGAGAAATTTTAATCGTCAACCGTACGATCGCGACACGGATAAAATACTGATGGACCCATCGTTCATTGATTTCCCGGAAGTCCTGCACGCCTGGATTCTTCTTTCTCGTCGTACGCCAATCACGCTTGCTCTCGCGTCGAATTTGTCGATAATTAACATAGTGAACGCGGCTGATCGTTCAATTTCTAACGTGTCTAGTGTGGATCATGAAATTTCCATGGAAGATAAAGGGCTGTTCGGACGCGAAACGTTAACAAGAAAGATTCGAATGATAATTTCGCTGGTTCGACGATTTCACAGCGGTGTGACCTTTTTTTTTATTCGATGGCGAAAGAAAGAGACCTCGATTAACGATCGCGAGAACAAGAAACGGTTAATGAGTTTACGGAACCCCCGGAGACGAGAGAAGGGGGTCGGTGATTTTGAAAGAAAAATAATTTTCTAAGGGCTGAGTGAAGCTGACGCGGGCCATCGTTTCAATCGCCGAATTATCCGACCGGGTAGACGAAATTTTCTCGTCGCATACGTGACACGTTTTGGACCTGGTGTGTGCTCGAGGTATCCGCGTCAGGTTTAGACTCCCCATTTCGTGAATTCTTGCGATTCTGTCGTTTAACGTTTCCTTTTCTACCGAATGTAAATCACGTCCTCGAGATTCGATCGGTTCGCTGGACGTTCGATAGAAAATTCATTTCCAAGCTGTATAACGGAGAATTAACAAAAAAATTCTCTTAAGATAATACAAGTAAGTCAATGACGAATCGAATTTGCCATCGTTCCGCTTTCTTGATTCGCGATAATGTCTGTTACAGATCCAGTTGATTGAAAAAGTTGATTAGCTGTGTAGATGTACATGTTAGAGGAGGAAACGTTGTGCGTCGGAGAACGCGAGCGATAAAAAGAGTATCAGGTGTTTAGCATGCGATTAAACAGGATTACCAGATCGATCGAGCAGGGGATGAGCATCAAAGGATCGGACGAAGCCGAAGAAAACTGCCGTTCCACCGCTGGCGGCGACGATGCGACGCAGCCCGGACACGACTCGATTTTATCTTCGATTCTCCGTGATTGAGCAAAGATTATTGATTAAGGAGACCGTGGAGTCGCGTGCGCCCGATTGAACGAGCGATCAAACACGAGACAACTACTACGCCAGTTCGTTCTCGATCACGCTCGAGGAGGTTGGAGAAGTCAACGATCGACGACAGACGCACGCAGCACATTCTCACGCGTATACAATCCGTCGTGGAAAACACACATCCCAATTGAGTTTTTGTCTAACGACGATACACGTGATTTTCTGTCACAGGTAACGAAACTCGTTCACCATTTTCCTGATCCTCGTCCCACCTGGATGAATCCTCCGTTTGCACTCCTTAGCTACATTACTCTCGAGCAGGAGGATGCTGCTCTTATCCGACCATTTCCAAACGAACAGTACGTCGCGACAGTTTTCGGCGAACTCCATAGTCTAGGGAGAAACGAAAGACCGTCTGACGGTTAAGCGAAGGATTTCGTTGGTGATTGAACTCGAATGAAAGTTCAATCGCAGGTGTCCTGTGCCCAAGGAGACCAATCCTGATAGGTGGACGCCTGCAGGTGAGTTTGCTGTACCGCCAGTCCCGGATGCACGAGGCTCATCTGATGATGATGGTGATGGTGGTGGTGATGATGGTGGTACTGCTGATGACCCGGCGGAGGCGGCGAATAGGGATCCCCTCCTACGGCCACGTCCACCACGTCGACCTGTGACGGTACGACGGCGGGCGTCGGCTGTGGAGAGGCTTGTACCTTCTTCGGGCGACCGACCGGGTTGCCACCTCATTCGCGACTTCTTCGAGGCCGACCGACCTTACCTTTTCTCACCGGTGCACCACCGTTTCCGGCCGCCGCCGCGGCAGCTGCGGCCGCCACGCTCGACGACTTTATGATTTTGTGCCAATCCGTCTCGCATACCGGTGCCCCCGACAACAGATAATACCTAATTAGAAAGAAAAAAAAACACATTGTATTACTTTTAAAAAGAATCATAAATTCCACGAAATGTTAACGATCAATGTGTTAATAAATATTTGTAATTTATTCAAACGTATTTTTAATCTCACACTGTGTACATACACGCGAATTACTACCGTTAATCCATTTACGAGAACAAAAACTTTGTAGCCGTACTTCACGGAAACGAGGTTCCGTAATCAAGCAGAGTACAACGCGCACAGATATCCACGGAAATCGATGCTCATAAACAAGATTGCTTCATTACAGTCCGGAATAATTGTGTCCCTCCTCCTTTATTACAAAATCCCCAATTGCAATCCCCGCCAATTAAACACGACAACCCAGCGCGACACGCCTCTTTTCCAAACCTTTAATTGCCGCGTTTCCTCTTCGACTCCCGCGTATCTCTGTTACCAACGGAACCCCTCGAATTCCGTTCTTTCCCTAACCGATTCGACCGATTTCCCTTGATTCGTTTGCGAACCCCAAAGTAGCCAATCGTATTGACACCTAGTGCTTTCTCAAAAACTTGTTTAATCCTTTCGCTACAGAAAGTCTATATTCAACCCAATGAAAACAATTTTAATGGTAATCATGATCTTACCTATCGCCGGAAACCAGCTGACTACCACATTTGCTGCACGTGAAGCATTTCTGGTGAAACACTGATCCACCCGCCCTCATTACCAGTTCGCTGGCAGGTATCGCGTTGCCACAACCTGCGCAAGCACCACTGCTTCCGAACATCCTGTAACAATCATAAATAGCATCAATTAATTAACTGTAGTAATTATGCATGGATTCTATATCGAAAATTTCATTTGATCCGTTACAATTTGTTTAGAGCGAACAAATGGCAGAAGTAATTAGAGGTTTTTCTAATTACATAAATTGAGGATCACGCTTTATATGATACGATTGAACGGAAGTGTTTTAGAGCGAAACAAAACGTCAATAATTACAGAGTTCCTCTTTGTTCGTGGAAATGAATATTTCTACGTTCGTTAATGTTTCATTGAATCGTACGGGTAGATGGGTACACTAACGAGTCCTGAATTTATACCGAGTACATATTATCAATTCAATGATGTTCACTGAAAATTGATATTTCACGAAAACATAAGTATCGGATGCATATTACCCGCATTATAGAATCATCAACAAAGCAATTATCGTTCGATTGGTATGCGCGTTACAACTCGTTACGACTTATTTAATCAGATAATTAAAAACTGCATAAAGTGAAGTTAAATCATCGGTCTATGGGGTGGCCGTGAACGCGTTAGATTCTCGTCACTGTCACGATTCCTCGCCATCTTAGCCCTTTCATCGGTGCACAAGTTACGATCAATTATATCTTCTATATTAATTGCGAACGAGAATAACAAGAGACGAGGCTGGAGAAGGGAAGGTTTATTAACCAGACGACCAGTGTAACTCGCGCCTCGTACTAACGACGTTTAACCTGAAAGGAGGCGTGCTTGTTTTGAAGGGATCAAAAGCGCAACGAGCGCGACAACCTGCTGAAAACCGCAAAATTTGCGATGCAGCAAATTTCTACGTGTTCTCCTCTCTGCGTCTTCTATCCTTTTATTTTCATTTTCCCGCGACTAGAATCCGTTTAGAGAAGGGGACAGGTGTTCGAGCGAATTCGCGCGAAGACGTCGCGTACCGACAATTATATATGCGACGCCTTTATTATAATCGAGCCTGCCTGTCTGTCAGTCTTTTTGCTTGTTTTTCTCTCGTTTAAAGCAGCCGGAACGTCGACGCGTAATAAGGGTGAAAAGAAAGAAACGGTGCCGGTTGAATGTTGGATTCTGCACCCTACCCTCTATCGTTTGGCCTAACCTCATTTAGTTAGAAAGTGTTTGCGCGACGAGACGACCAACGCGAGATTTAATTGGAAACTCCCCGTGTCTATCGCCTGGTGGCTTCGCCTTCAAATCGGTAGGACAGTGTCATCCACTGAGCCCAGATTCGTCGTAATTGCTAGCCTTTCTCGTTTCAACCCTTCTACTGTTATAAATTCATACTTATTCCTCGGCGATAATGATGAAATTACAACGAATTCACTTTCAGGTTTTCAAGTATCTACCGTACCTTACCCTTTTTCCAGCAGACTAGGCAAAATCACGAGAGAAGATGAACAAAATGGAATCCAAGTCGTTCGAAAAAGAAGGATTAACGAAAGAGGAGACAGTTGGAAACTTCATCCGTCGCGAACGATCATTTATCCGGCTTTGTCGATCCGTTGTTACAGAATACATTGTAAGCGTTTGCGAGGCGCGAAACAGTCGTAACTCGGAATCGACGGAAGCATCGCTGGTCGCGCGTCGAATTCCAGAAAAGGTCTCTGTACGCGATGCTGGGAAAACGAAATAAAAACCATGGCCCGGCTTCGTGCTCGCCGCTATCTCGAGATACCGAATAATCGGCTTTATAAAATGTTCCGCGCTCAGCAAACCAAAGCTTTATACGTTCCTATAATCTTTAAATGCGAGCGCCACGAGCTCCCGTGACATTTCATCCTCGCCAGCAGCTTGCATCATTAAAATTCCACGCTTCTTTACAACCGCGGCTTTCTTGAACAGTTATTAATAGTTGCGCGATACGCGAGAAATTTAAACAATCTAGTAATTATCGAATGTTGCATTCATTTCCGAAGCTTAGGCTGTGAACTTGGGGGGTCTCGGCGTTTTTTCTTAAACGTCCTCACGGACATTTTTATTATAGTTTTAATTTAAGGATTTAGAAATCAAAATTGTAAGGTTTGCTGTGGAAGAATTCTCAAGGATGTAATGGAGAGTTATAAAAAGATATCGAGGATATCGAGGATATCGAGGATACACGTTTCCGGATTAGTGCGACAAGATGGCACGGTTCGAAAGACAGCTTTTTCGCTCGGTCTCCTCTCTCGATATCCTCGAAGATTAGTTAAAATGTATTCGCCACGGTGAAATTAATATCCATCCATTAGCATTATGCGCAGCCCCTATCTCCGGCCAATTTCCTGGAATGTTCACGTCAGGTGTTCGATTACGGCCGACGATCTTAACATTTTAGCCTTTCCCTTGACATTGCGGATCTCCAACGTGGACACATCAATACCGCGGCCTTGTATCGTCGTTAATGGCGGCTAATGTTTGCTGAATGTTACCAGCCGTATACCGATGCCTCGTAAAGTCCGCTGTTTATATCGCAATTAGCCGTGTAACGATACGTAGCCACATCGAATCGACCGCAACGCCTGCTTTCTTCGATCTCACGGGAATTTTCGACTGCATCCTACTTCGCATTACGTCTATCAATTGATTAACTTAACTGCTAATTAATTCGTTCCGTTTTCGTAATCTCTCGTTACGGAACACTGTCGGAAATCGAAGTTGGTACTACAAATTTTTGGTATTCCAATAGGAATGAAGCAAAATGAGAATTATAAATTCTAGCGTCAAACTTCCTCCTTTCCTTTTTTCTTTCAATAAGTATTGAAACATGACTGTAGGAAATCGTTCGCATCGTTGTAACAGTATTACATAAAATAGGTAGTAATTTGACAAACACGCTGATGAATTGAATTACCAGTGACCCCAAGAATCTATACACGTTTCAAACAAGGAGCTAGCGGTAGGGCCAATATATCCTGAATATTGTTGAAACAAACTTTTTCCCAACCACGAGCATAAAATGTCTGCCGAGGAAATTTTCTCCGGAATGTGAAAGGCCTCCCACATTTACATTCCACGGGTCCGTGTACGGCACGGCGCATACAACACACGATCGTTCCACCTTCACGCACCTACATTGTCCGTGACGAAAGGAATCGATCGACGTGTGTGTATGTGCGCAATTGAAATCACCATGGATTGCTCGATTTTCGATTCGTTCGGACCGGGCAATGATCCTCGTCGTCGCTTCGTTGCACCCATTAGATCCGCTTGCTGCTTCATCGATCGAGCGTGCTAATAAACACCACGTTTCCTTCAATGAAAGTTTCATTACGCTTCGTTTTTCATTACGTAAATAAAACTAGAGTTTCTGTCAAAAAAAAATACTCTCTAATTTACGTTCTTATGAACCTCCTTTTACATGGTTTGAAAGGATTGAAATATAGATCTCTTAATTGAAATTAGATTACACTATTATTAATCACACCTCGGAGTTATCTGTGCTCGAGTAACTGTTCGAAACGCAAGGTAAATTCCATCTGGATTCAACGAAACAACGTCCAACAATTTTCCATCTGTCGTTCGTAGAACACACGTGGCACTGCATCCAGGATCTCGTACTCGTTCGAGCGTAACCACTTGGACACAGATACCGCACCTGTATGCACATGCAGCTTGCATACCGCGATACTTTATCGGATACTCTTATATAGGACACAGTTACAGGTTGCTTCAGAAACTCTTGTCATCAAGAGAACTCGTACGATCATCAGTCCGTGGCTCGAAGCTCGCTGGCAAAACCTGTTGATTCTGCGACCAAAATTTCTCCACGTGGACGAATTAAATTCTAAATTCCAAGGATCTATATATCCAGCTTTACCAAGCGCCAGTGAAAACAGTCATTATTTTTAAATCAATCGGTACCCTTCCTGATTCGAAATCCGAATGAATCGCTTTCCATCAGTTTTAATCGCCCCTATTTTTTTCTCATCTTTGATCGCGTTGATTATCGAATTGAATTTTCATTAGTCACGGTCCGCGATCCTAACGAGCGCGTTCTTCCGCTCCAAATAAAAAGCTGTTTAATTCGCGAAGGATTTCACGCGAGTTCCTGTCGCGAGGCCTTGTAGAAAAAATTCGCGAGAAACAAGGTAGCTAACAGTGGTGATAAAAACAAAAGGGGGAATGAGAAAAGGAGGAAGCACGAGACTCGAGTGAAGCGTAGGAGAAAATTGTCTGCAATTTCTGACGGGTATCCGAAACGACGCGCACACACGCTTGTGTATATCGATACCAGATCGTCGAACGGGTCCGAAAGGTTGCCACGACGTGGCTCGGATTGGATTCGAGGTTTCTCGTTATTAATTTAATTACCGCTTGACAGTTCCATAATTAAATTGCTAATTTATCTGTCCACGATCTGGCTGATCGCGAACGAACCAGGCAGCTCGATGATTGCTCGCGGAATGACGTTTCAATTCTTCCTCCAATTTTCATCCTTCTTTCTTTCTCTCTTTTTTTCATTTTACCTCTCTCCTATTCTCAATACACCATTCTCTTTCGTTGTTTTTCTCCCTTCGGGCAAGTTATACCGCGGTTGTTTCTCCTTTGAAACGTTGCTAGCTCTTACGGTTATAAATACACGATTCCTTTTTAATAATGGAGAAACGGTGAGGAACGATTTTTGTTCCCGAAGAAGCATGATGCAGGGAAAGTCTGGTTAAACTTTCTCGGTTCGATAACGATGTTTCGATGATTTATACCGTGCTGAGAACGTACGAGCTGTTCGTTTTCTATATCACAGTAAAAAAACTTTGGATTTCTTGCTTACCGAACAATCTCTCGTGTACGATGGTTCTTTTCTTTTGGCTGAATTTTGTTCGAGCAAGTGGATATTATCACGAGTCACGACGGGAACTACTTAGCTTGAATATTTGTATTCTTTGTTTCTGCGAAGCTAGTTGAATTTATTAAAAAGAATACATCAACGCGGTAGATTTCACGAAGCACGCGGCTGTCAAAGTGTTAAGAATCGGTGAAACTTTCAAGGAATTAGCATACAGGAAGAATTCCATCCACC